TTTGTGTTTATATGTGTGTGTGTGTGTGTGTGTGTGTGTGTGTGTGTGTGAGAGAGAGAGAGAGAGAGAGAGAGAGAGAGAGAGAGAGAGAGATTGGAATAGCCACATAATTATCAATCCTAACCCTACGCAGCCACCTACAAAGTTTCTTATTTCCCTTAGCTTTACTATAAGGGGTAGATAAAGTGACATGTTCCTTCCACCGAYAGACAAAAGATTYAGTGGTACATCCTACGTCGATATGGCAAAACCAAGGGGATACAAGGGCATAGACTACAGGACCTGGACAAAAACTAAAATCATAACCATTTCGAAGAAAGACAGACAGAAGATCGATAAACCTACGGCACCATGAAATTTCACCTCAAAAGGCTCAAATAATAAGGAGAATAACAATCAAGCGACAATAAATAAATTGAACCTTGACTGCAGGAAACTCTTCTCGAAAATCCAGACATAGCCTAGCCAATTTCAAAGATGTGAGTGTCCTCACCCGTCATTAACGTGCTCAGTGGAGGTGGCATAACTCTGTTCGGGATCTTCATCATCTTCATTCGGTTTCTACCTTTCCTGTCGTCCCTTGTCTTTAAGTCAAACGTCATAGTCCCGCCTGACCCTGATCTCAAAGACATCCATCTTCGCTTGGTCCAACTTAATGAAAGTAATGCCTTTCTCTTCACAGGCAACCTCCACTTCTGCTTTCTTTGATTGGCGGGTTTCCTTCAGGCCCAACTCCCGAAAGTTGTTAATCTTGGCTTCCCCCAAATCGTGAGCAACCTCCACGATAGACTGCGTTTTACCTTTAGTAGCCCACGACTCTTTTCCCTCCTCCTCCTCATTGTCATCCGGACCAACCTCCACCGCTTGGAAGGTAGTCTTCAAGTTTCTTGGGGTGGTTTTCCTCATAGAGGTTTTCCTTGCAGTAAGTCAATCCAAGAAGCTCCCATCTTCGCCGTACGCTCCTTTGCCATCTCTGCCTCCTTCAGTGCCGTATCTTTCGCGACCAAGAATTGTTTGCAGTTTTTCTGCATAGCTTCCAGGTCTTTAGCCGTACGCATAGCCGTGGAATTCAGATCCGCTTTCTGCTTTCCCTTCGCTGTCTCCTCGAGAGGGCTACTCTCAGTCACAACCCCGACGATTCTCTTCCCCCAAGTCAATACTTCTTCCCTCAAGTCCCGCAATTCCTTCCTCAAATGACTGTTCTCCACCTTTAATGATGCCAGCTCCACGTTCTTTTCTTCCAGCTCAGATCTTATTATGTAGCGGACCTCTGGTTGGCCTGTGAGACCAGCCCCTTGGCCTGTTCTCACAGGCATGTGTTCTATTCGGGGGCAGTCCAGTCCAGTCCAGGCCGGTACCTCTATCGGTACCAGGCAGTCCAGTCCAGTCCAGTCAGTCCGATGGGGTATACCCCAGCAGTTGTCTGTTTCGTCCTCATTCTTCACTTGCACATTTTGGAGTACGTGCGTTGGAGTTTTGCGTGAAGAGTTGCGTTGTGCCATCTCGCTCCCCCACTTCTTCCTCCATCTCCATCTCTATCACTAGCGGAGCACCACACCTGGTGGGTCCGCGACATTGGTATCGGAGCGGGAATGTTCCCCGCTCCCACCCACCACCCCGTACAGCTGTACCAGCTGAGGAAAACAACAAAACCCGACAAGCGCCAAGGCCAAGGTCGCCGCACGCGCGTGCGCCACGCGCCCATGCTGCCCCGTTGCCCCGCCCCGCCCCGCTTCGATATTATATTAAGCACGCGCGCGCGCCACTCGCCCACGCTGCCCCGCTGCCCCGCCCCGCCCCGCTCCGCTCCCGGATTATATTAATCAAGATCCAGGATGCATGCTGCCGCTGGGGTTTGAACCCAGGCAGCTGCAGGCCATGCGCGTGCGTGTGCCACCCTCATAATACACTGGCCACAGTCTATGCATGGCCTTGTAGCACGGCAACCTCGTGTTGAAGAGGTGCTGGCTATTTACCCCCCCCCCGCCGGCGAGCAGCGAGCAGCGGCCAGCGAGGCAGCAATGGGAGAGGCTGCTATTTACCCCCCCCCCCCCCCCCCTTGCACGTGGCCACCTGCAGTGCCACGTGGCACTTTGCTGTGGACTGAAGACCCCCCTGGTTAGGGGGCTACGCCACAGCATCAGTATTATTATTATTTTTTTTACTCTCTCTACTGCTGCAGCAGCAGCTTTGCAGCAGCTCAAGATTTCCCTCTGGCTAGGGGGTTGTGTGACTGTGGCAGTAGGGTGGCTGATCAAGATTTCAGCCAACCCTAGATCATCATCATCATCCATCAGGGTATGCTCACACAGCACACCCTGGATCTGCAGTGCCGCAACTAGGGGCTGATCAAGATCTCAGCCCCCCTACATCCTCCAGTTGGTTGGCTGCAGCGAAGGTCAAGACCCTCCTGGTCTTGGTATACCTTGTGCCCTTGGAGACACCAAGGGCCAGGTATCATCTCTCTCTCCCCTCCGAAAGTTTGTTAGGGATGACCAGCAGTGGGACTTACACTTAGCCCACACGGAGATTGCGTACAACCACGCTGTTTCGCCAGCTACGGGGATATCGCCATTCTATTGCGACCTCGGCTACCACCCTCGCGTACCCGCGGATTTCCTACGACCATCGCGGTTGCGCCCAGACACTCGTTGCCCTGCGCTTGACGACTGGATCGCCCACATGGCGGCGATTATGAAGCGCGCACACGAGAGTTTAACCGGGGGTGAGAGAATGGGAGAGAAAGAGGATGGGGAAAGATGGAGAGTGATTAAGAAACTAAGAGGGAAGAAGGAGGAGAGAAAAGAAAAGAAATGAAGAAAAGAGGGTAAGATAGTGGTTAGTGGGAGAAAAGGTGGGGTGGGGAAGGTAAAAAGAGGAGGGGAGAGAGGCAGTGGAAGGTGGGGGTAATCAGGTAGCTTCACACAGAAGCTGACCGGATTAGCGGCAGTATCAGAACCGACCGCCTGAAGGATGCGGCATGAACTGAAGAAACGACGCCTGAACTTGCGAAGCGTATCTGCTTCGAGCTGTAAGTGGCGTGCGTCGACGAGCACATCGTCACTGATTTTGAATGAATGATCCATTCGTGATCGGTTCGCTCGTGCGGCCATGCGAGTCTGGGGACCTCCGGCCACGGTCGCAGCTCCGTCGCTCTGCTGCCGAACACGTCCCGAACCGAACGGGCTCTAGACGGTCGGATGGCACGGAAAGCGACAATCTGCCGCTGGATCTCCTGCTCGAGAACACTGCCATCAGGTTGCGCTCCCCACACCTCGGGCTCCACATCTCCCTCCTCATCCTCCTCCTCTGCCCCCGTCCCCCCCCGACCGGTCCCCATAACCCATGGCAACACGTAGCCACCACCCTCCCGTATGCACGAGGCCAGTTTGAGATTGGTGGCAATCTCAACCAGCTGTGCAAGCTTGGCGAACCCAAGCTTGCAACGCCTCGCCGTGCTGACGCGCTCGTGCTCCGCCCAGTTCCTCTCCGCTGGAGAGGCAGACGTCCACAAGTGCATGACACGGATGGCGATGGTGCGCAACTCCGGGTGGGCACGTCCAGGCTCAAACCACCACGCTGCACATCGCTCGGTCTCGCTGTCCCCCCTGCAATCAGCCGCCTCGGCATCGGAGAGGTCACGATCTCCCCAATCCCCTCGCCTCGAGTGGAACGCCCTCATCTGGTCCCTCACACTCCTGTACAATAAGCCGACCGGATCGCCGCCGGTCTGCGCCAGGAGAAATCTGTCGCACTCCTTGACCACACGGCGGTCGTCGGCGATCGTCTCCAGGGAATGGTAATACGTGAGGGACCGTCGACGAGGGTTGAGGAGGTGGGCCGCGGCATGTGCGGGCTCTAGCATGTGGAGGTTGCGGATGGCAACCTCACGCACACACGACTCGATCATGTCCTCCGGCACGTCCACCCTCCTCATCAACTGCAGCAGATGCTGACTCCACTCGTAAACAACGAACATCATCATCCCACCTCTATCCATCCTGCGCAACAGCTGGTGGATGGGCGACATGACAAGGATGGCGTACTGGACACGCTGCCAGGATTCCCCGTCCCGGATCTGCTGCTGCACCCACTGCGCCTGAGATACGTGGGTGCGATCCCACGGGATGGGTGCCCAAGCATCCCTATGCAACATGCTCTCCAATGCGTCTCGTCGGCCTTTGAGACACGCCAGCATCAGGAAAACCGATGCAAACCGTGTCTCAACGGGCTCGACGAGCTGAACGCGAGGGCTCACCTTCCTAAAGAGATTGTGAGCAGCACCGTGCGATTTAATAAATCGCACAAGCGCTCGAGCGCGTATGATGGTCTCCTTGACCCACACCACTCGCGTCCCGATATCTGACAACATCAAGTTGCAGACATGGTGGAGCAGGGGAGCCACGTGATCCTCCTGATGTCAGGCTCGGGGTCTGCGGCGAACCTGTGCGCTGCCGCTGTATAGTTAGTGGCGGAGTCTATGCAGAAGCCGATCACGTCCTTTGCAGGAAAGGACAAGATGATGGCCCGCCACCTACGATACACAACGTCCGCTGTGTCTCGGACCAACCCGTCACGTGCGACGGTGGCGTACAGCAGGGCGCCATTGGCGCCCCCGACGAGGAAGTTCACGAGCGGCTTGCCGCTGTGCGACTTCCTCCCGTCGGAAAGGATAGTGGCACCACTGTGCTGGAAAGTGGCGCACACCTCGCTCACCATCGTCGCCACCTTCGCCCTCTGCGAAGGGATACCGGCGCCCTCTGTAACCCTGTAGGAGGGAAACCGGAACTGGAGAGAGCGAGGCACTCTCTCTACTGCCTGCCGCACCCTCTGGAACTCCGCACCACGGAACGCGTTGAATGGCAACTTCTTCACGTATATCCACTGAAGCCACGCGTCTGTGAACTCGGCCAACTTCTCCCTGGCGTACATCTCGTCAATCGTGGTCTGCCGAGCCCTCTTCTCCCTGCCCGTGTCTGGCACCTTGACGCCAGCCTGCCCCGCTGTCCTCTTCTCCTTCCTCGCGCACTCCACCTCAGGTCGCGGCGCCCTAGTTGCAGGACCCGCTCGACCGACGCCTCCCGACATCATCACCACCTCCTCCCCAAGCACGTTAGGCTCTCCGACTGCCTCGTCTGCCTCGTCTGCAACCGCCCCCTCCCTGGCCCCACCCTCGCGGCCCTCCTCCTCATCGAGGGCGTCCTGAATGTCGTCCCTCTCTGCGTCGTCCATCCACTGTCTCTGGCCACCCGCAGGCGCTCTCGTGTCCCGTATGCCCTCGTCTGCCATCCACCTCTGCACCCGCTAAGCAGTGGACGGCACAAATGTGTAGTCTGTGCCGTTCCAGAGTTTCGCGAGAACTCTCATCACCCCAGCCTTGCAGAACTTCGACTGCGTGAAATGACGCGCGACCTTCGTCGACCCCCCCTGAAACAGGTGACCGCATGAGTTGCAACGCAACTTTCGGTCCCCGTGCATCTTGGACTGGTCCCCGACGTACTGGCCCGCAGTAACGAAGTTCCAAACAATGTTCCCTCGCCTCAACTTCGCCATCTCGTTCTCGGACAGCGTCTTGAACTTGGCACCCCCTCACCCCCCCGCACCGTTGCTCCCTGCACCCCCCGTCATCGCCCCCCCACCAGGATTCAACAAGTCGTGGCCTCGATCTTGGATATCGTCTGACCGTGCCGCACTGTCGATGTAGCGTCCCCTCGATGTCGCTGCACCCTTACGTCCCCGCCGCTCCTGCCGCCACGTCCCGTCCATGTCGCGCAAGCCCACAGTCCACTAGCACCACGGTCGACCGCCCACCAGCGCGCCTTGGAGGCGAGCAGCCATGCCCGGCCGCCCTCCGCCGTGATCGGCCTCGATCGGCCGTGTTCGGCCATGCCCGGCCGCGTTCGGCCGTGTTCGGCCGTGCCCGGCCGCGGCCGGACACTAAAATGGCCGCGCACTGAAAAACGACGCGCGCGGCGATGGCGACGGCCGTGCGGCGGCCGCTGGGCAGCGCGGGGCCGCTGTCCCGCGTGCTCGCGCAGCGCACACCGCTGCAGGGTGCGCAGGAAGAAGAAGAAGAAGAAGATCTCTCTCTCTCTCTCTCTCTCTCTCTCTCTCTCTCTCTCTCTCTCTCTCTCTCTCTCTCTTTCTGTCTCTCAAGAGTCTCTCTCTCTCTCTCTCTCTCTCTCTCTCTCTCTCAAGAGTCTCTCTCTCTCTCTCTCTCTCTCTCTTAGACTGTGAGAATCACAAAGGAACGCGGTATTTAAAGTCACAATACGTATGCACGTTGTCAAAGTACTACGTACCTTGTGATTCTATAAGGCACAATTTCATTTCCTTTCATATTTCGATTGCTGGATTTCACGCCTTGAGGGCACAACTTCATTCTATGTGTGTGTGTGTGTGTGTGTGTGTGTGCGTGTGTGCGTGTGTGTCTGAGT